CACCCACACACTCCTCTTTTACTCCCTCATTCATCTGCGAAAAATGGCAGTTTTATGTCTTCTTTTCCAATTTGGATACCTGTTAGTTCTTCCTCTTGTCCAATTGCCATGGCTAGCACTTCCAGAACAATGTTGAACATGAGTGGTGAAAGTGGGCATCACTGTCTCATTCCTGTTCTTAGGTTAAATGGGTTTAGATTTTGCCCATTGAGTATGATGTTGGCTGTAGGTTTGTCATATATGGCTTTTATTCTGTAGATTTGTCATATAAGGCTTTTATTATGTTGACATATGATCCCTCTATTTCAACTTTGCTAAGAGTTTTTATCAAGAAAGGATGGTGGATTTTGTCAATAGCTTTTTCTGCCTCAATTGATATGACTAGGTGATTTTTATCTCTCCAGTTGTTTATGTGATGTGTCATGTTTATTGATTTGCAGAAAATGTACCATCCTTGCATCCCTGGGATAAATCCTATTTGATCATGGTGTATGATCTTTCTGATGTACTGCTGGATCCGATTTGCTAAGAGTTTGTTGAGGATTTTAGCATCTATGTTCATGAGGGATATTAGCTTGTAGTTCACTTTCATTGTGTTATCTTTAGGTGGTTTTGTTATTAGGTAATTCTGGTTTCACAGAATGAGCTTGGAAGTATTCCTTCCTCTTTAGGTTTTTAGAATAGTCTGAGAAGGATAGAATTTAGTTCTTTGAATGTTTGGTAAAAGTCCCCTGTGCAACTGTCTGGCTGCAGGCTTTTGTTTGCTGGAAGTTTTTTGATGACTGCCTCAATTTCCTCCATAGTCATCAGCCTACTGAGATTTTTAGATTCATCCGGATTGGGTTTTGGAAGCTTGTATTTTTCTAGAAATATGTCCGTTTCTTTCAGGTTGTCTAGTTTGTTGCAATAGAGTTGTTCATAGTATATTTAAACAATCCATTGTATTTCTGTGGGGTCGGTTGTTACGTCACTTGTTTCATTTCTGATTTTGATTATTTGGGTCCTCTCTCTCTGCTCCTTGATGAGCCTGGCTAGAGGTTCATCAATCTTGTTGATCCTTTCAAAGAATCAGCTATTGGTTTCATTGATCTTTTATATTTTTTGTTTTGTTTTTGTTTTTGTCTTTATGTCATTTATTTCTGCTCTGATCTTTATGATCTCTTTCCTTCTGTTCACTCTGGGTTTTTGTTGTCATTATCTTTGTAATTCTTTAAGTTATAGGATTAGATGATTTATTAAAATTTTTTCTTGCTTTTTGAGGTAGGCCTGTAGAGCTATAATCTTCCCTCTCAGGACTGCTTACACTGTGTAGCATAGATTTTGAGTTATTGTGTCTTCAATGTCATTCATTTCCAGGATGTTTTCAATTTCCTCTTTGATCTCTTTTGTAACCCAATTATTGTTTAGTAGCATGCTATTCAGCTTCCAAGTGTTGGAATGGTTTTGGTGGTTGTTGTTGTTTTTGTAGTTTATTTCTAATATTATGCGATTGTATTCTGAGAAGATGCTTGATACGATTTCAATCTTCTTGAATTTGAGAGACTTTGCCTGTGTCCCAATATGTGGTCTATCTTTTAAAATGTCCCATGTGCACTTGAGAAGAACATATATTCAATGGCTTTGGGGTGAAATGTTCTGAAGATGTCAATTAGGTCCATCTGATCTAGTGAGTTATTTAGGATTTCTGTTTCTTTGCTGATTTTTTGTCTAGAGAATTTATCCAATGATGTCTATGGCTAATAATGTCCCCTACTATGATTGTATTGTGTTCTATCTCTCCCTTGATATCTTCCAGAAGTTTTTGTATTATTTGGGTGCTCCTGTATTAGATGGATATAGGTTCACCAAAGTTATATCCTCTTGTTGTATTGATGCTTTTAGTATTATGAAGTGGCCTTCCTTATCTCTTGTTATGGTATTCACTTTTGAGGTATATTTTTTCAGATATAAGTGTTGCTACCCTAGCTTCTTTTTCATTTCCATTTGGCTGTATTTTTTTTTCACCCCTTCACTTTCAGTTTCTGTTAGTCTCTTGTTCAGAGGTGGATCTCTTTTAGACAGTATTATATGGGTTATGTTATCTTATCCATTCAGCCACTCTCTGTCTTTTGATTGGAGCATTTAGTCCATTTATGTTTATGGTTATTATTGATAAGTACTTGTTTGTAGCCATTTTTATTCTTTATTTCTGTATTCCTTCTTTCCTTTCTATTTCTTCTTCTTACCACAGTCCTTTTAGCATTTTTTGCATTGCTGGCTTGGTGGTGATAAACTCCCTTAACCTTTTTTTTTGTCTGCAAAACTCCTGATTTCCCCTTCAATTTTGAATGATAGGCTTGCTGGATATAGTATTCTTGGATTCAGTCTCTTGCTTTGCATCACTTTGCATACTTCATTCCATTCCCTTCTGTTCTGGTTTGTTTCTCTTCAGAAATCATTTGGTAAACTAATGGGAGAATCTTCTTTGGTCTCTCTCTCTCGCTCTCTGCCTTTAAAATTCTCTCTTTGTTGTTAACGTTTGCCATTGTAATTATGATGTGTCTTAGTGTGAGTCTTTTTGTGTTTATCTTGTTTGGGACTCTCTGTGCTTTTGTAACTTTTTTCTTTCCCAAATCAGGGAAGTTTTCTGTCATTATTTCTTCAAATACGTTCTCTAATCCTTGCTGCTCTTCTTGTCCTTATGGCACCCCTACTATATGTATGTCACTTCATTTCATGTTGCCCCAAGTCCCCTTAGGTTTTCCTCCTGCTTTCTAATTTTTTTCTTCAATTGCTGTTCAGCTTGGGCTTTTCTCTACCCTATATTCTAGCTCACTGATTCTGTCCTCTGCTTCTCCTAGTCTACTATTGAAACCTCCCATCATGGTTTTTATTTTAGGTATATTGCTTTTGATTCCCCCTAGATTCTTATATAGGTTGTTGATTTTCTTGTCCATCCAGTTTATGAACTGTATGACCATTACTCTGAATTCTTTTTCTGATATATTGCATACCTCGTTTTCATTTAGTTCCTTTTTTGGGGTGAGTCCTCCTTTTCTTTCTTTTAGGGGTTGCTTCTTTGTCTCCCTATTTTTGCTATTGCTGAAGGGTTCAGGCGCCAAGTTGCATAAGGCTTGAACTGCAGTGGTGGACTTAGCGAGAGCCTCAGGCACCCCAAGAGTCGTGGGTGAGCTCAGGGGCTGGGTGGCACATCTGCTGTGGGTTGGTGGGAGCTCCACAGATGCCTAGAGTCAGTCTCAGGCTCAGGGACTGGGTGCTGCAGCCGCTGTGCATGCTAACACTGAAATGCGGACTTGGGGGGTCAGATGGCATGGCCATTGCAGGTCGGCAGGAGCCCTGTTTATGCTGACTGTCCAGGGCTGGTTCAAGGAGCCAGGTGATGAGGCCACCATAGCCATTAGTCAAGGGCAACCTTGGGATGCTTGGGAGCTGTGCCACTGAAGCAAGTTGGTGGGAGGGGAACTCACTCCAGGACTCACAGGAGCCTGAGGCCAGGATGGCTGGAATCAGTGTCTGTGAATCTTCAGTTGAGATAGGAGGTCTTTGTCTAGTGAGGCTGTTGTATCTTGGTTTGCATCTGAGTCCAGACTGTGTGGTGGTGAGGCTGTGCTCCTAGTCACAGCAGCTCTGACCTTCAAGATGGCATGGTTTCTATGCCAGAACTGGCAGGCCAGGAGTTTCAGACATTGCACTAACCTTACATGCAACTGTAGTGGGGGCTACCCACCTAAGACAGCCTGTTTCACCAGCCCCTGGAAAACCTGCAGGATCTGTCACACACACACACCATATGTCCACACACTCTCCTTTTGCTCTCTCATTCTCTCACACTCTCCCCCTCACTGCCATCCTGCTGGCTGCCATTATAGGAAATCTGTGGCAGTTTCATTTTTTTAATTTTTTGAGGAAAATCCATAGTTTTTTTCAACAGTGGCTGAAGCATTATTAATTTTCACCAATACTACAGGAGAGTTTCTTGTATTCCACATCCTTGCTACCACTTGTTATTTGCTGATTTATTAGTGGTAGCCCTTCTTTCAGGTTTGAGTTGATATTTCATTGTATTTTTATTTGCATCACTCTGATGATTAGTGATGTTGAGCATTTCTTCATATTTTTATTGGCCATCTGTATATCCTCTTTGGAGAAGTATTTAGGTGCTTTTCCCATTTTTTTTATTTTATTATTTATTTAATCCTCACCCAAGGATATTTTTTCCATTGTTTTTAGAGAGAGTGGAAGAGAGAGGAAAAGACAGAAAGAAATATTGATGTGAGAGAAACACACGTGCCTCCTGCACATGCCCTTTCCAGGGCCTGGGCTGGGGAAGAGCCTGCAACTGAGGTATGTGCCCTTGCCTGGAATTGAACCTGAAACCCTTTGGTCCACAGGCCAACACTCTATTCATTGATCTAAATGGGCTAGGGTCTTTTGCCCATTTTTTAATAGGCAGATATGTCTTCCCTGTGTTGATTTATATAATTTCTTTATATATTTTTAAAATTAACCCCTTATCAGATGTATCATTGGAAAATATGTTCTCCCATAGAGTGGGTTCCCTTTACATTTTGTTGATTTTTTTTCCTTTGCTGTGAAGAAGCTTATTAGTTTGATACAGTCTCATCTGTTTATATTTTCCATTGTTTCCCTTCCCCTGGTACCGTGGTCAGCAAACTGTGACTTGCGAGCCACATGCAGCTCTTTGGCCCTTTGAGTGTGGCTCTTCCACAAAATACCATGTGCGAGCGCGCACATACAGTGCGATTGAAAGTTCCTGGCCCATGTGTAGAAGTCAGTATTTTGTGGAAGAGCCGGTATTTTGTGGACGAGATACACTCAAGGGGCCAAAGAGCCACATGTGGCTCGCGAGCTGCGGTTTGCCGAGCTGCAGTTTGCTGACCACTGCCCTAGTAGATACATCAGCAAAAATATTGCTATGAGAAATGTCTGAGATTTTACTGCTTGTGTTTTTTTTTCTAGGATTTTTATAGTTTTGTTACTTTTTTCAAGTCTTTTATCCATTTTGAGTTTATTCTTATGTATGGTGTTAGTTGGTGTTCTAGTTTCACTTTTTTGCATATACCTGTCCAAGTTTTTCAACACTGTTTATTGAACAGACTGTATTTATTCCACTGTATGTATTTGCCTCTTTCAAATATTAATTGACCATGAAGACATGGGGCAATTTCTGGGATCTCTGTTTACTTCCATTGATCTATATGCCTGTTCTTATGCCAGTACTACATGATTTTGATTGCAATGTCCTTGTAGTATAGTGTGATAGCAATTATTGTGACACTGATGACTTTGTTTTCCATGCTATGGATTGCTGAGGCTAATCAAAGTCTTTTGTGGTTCCATATAAATTTTTGGAACATTTGTTCTAGACCTGTGAAATATGTCATTGTTATTTTTAAAGGAATTGTGTTGAATCTATACATTGCTTTAGTATGGTCAATACGGACTTTTAATGATATTAATTATTCCTATCCATGAACAAAGTATATGCTTCCACTTATTTGTACTAGTATTTTCCTTAATTCCTTTCTTCAATGTCCTATAGTTTTATGAGTACAAGTCTTTTACCTCCTTGGTTAAATTTATTCCTAGTTCCCTTATTTTTTTTTCTTGCAATAGTAAATAAGATTGTTTCCTTATTGTTTATTTCTGATAGTTAATTATTAGTGTAAATAAATTCAACTGATTTCTGAATATTAATTTTGTATCCTTTTACTTCGCCAGATTTATTTATTAGATATACTAGCATTTTGGGGATTCTTTAGTGTTTACTATATACAATTTCATGCCACCTGTGAATAATGACAGTTTTACTAACTCCTTTCCAATTTGGAAACCTTTTATTTCTCCTTATTTTGTGATTGCTGTGGATAGGACTTCTAATATTATGTTGAATAAGAGTGGTGAACATGGACAACCTTTTCTTGTTTTTTTATCTTAAGGTAAAAGCTTTAATTTTTCCATTGAGTATGACATTGCCATGGGTTTGTCATATATGACCTTTATAACTTTGAGGCACATTCGCTCTATTCCCACTTTTCTGGGAGTTTTTATCATAAATTAGTGTTGGATTTTAAATGCTTTTTTTCTGCATCTATTATTATGATCAGTGGTTTTTATAATTTATTTTCATTATGTGGTGTATCATGTTTATTGATTTGCAGATATTGTACCAATCTTACATGCCAGAAATAAATCCCACTTGAACATGGTATATGATTTTTTATACTGAATTGTTGGATCTGGTTTGCTAATAATTTGTTGAGGATATTAGCATCTATGTTCATCAGGGATATTGGTCCATAATTTTCTTTCTTTGTAACTATCTTTATCTGATTTTGGAATTAGGATGATTCCGGAATCATAAAAAAGATTTTGGAAGTCCTTCCTCATCTTGAATTTTTTTTGAATAGTTTGAGAAAGATAAATGTAGTTCTTCTTTGAATGTTTGGTAAAATTTACCCGTGAAGCCATCCATTCCAGGACTTTTTATTGCTGGATTTTTTGTTTGTTTTCTTCTTATTTTTTATTTATTTTATTACTGCTTCAATTTCATTAGTTGTGATCAGTCTATTCAGGTTTTCTAGTTCTTTCTGATTCAGATTTCAAAGATTGTATAGTTCTAAGAATTTGTCCATTTTGTTCAGGTTATCCAATTTGTAGTTCATAGTATTTTCTTACAATCCTTTGTATTTCTGTGATGCCAGTTGTTAGATCTTCATTTATTATTCTATTTATTTATGTCCTCTCTCTTTTTCTTGATGAGTCTAGTTAAGTTTTCTCAATCTTGTTTATTTTTCAAAGAAACAGCTCTTAGTTCCATTGATCTTTTTTATTGTATTTTTAATTTCTGTCATTTATTTCCACTCTGATCTTTATTATTTCCTTCCTTCTACTTACTCTGGTATATGTTTGTTTTTCTTATTCTAGTTCATTTAAGTGCATGGTTAAGCTTTTAGGTGAGGGAGAAGATGTGAGTGAGTGAAGGGATGAAAGGAGAGTGTGTGGATGTGTGTGGTGTGTGTGTGAGTGAGTGAGGGACTGTTAAATCCAGCAGGAACAGCAGGGGCTGGCAGACCAGGCTCCCTTGGACAGGGAGAGACTACCACTGCTTCACTCCCCAGACTGTGGGACTCAGGCATATAGCCCACACCATCTTGAAGGGGAGAGTGGCCTTCTAGGAACTCATCAGTACCACCAACAAGACAGGCTTTGGACACTGCCGGGGACCCAGCAAACACTCCTGCTGCCCCACCCACAGACCTGTGGTCCCTGGGACCTCCACCTCTAAAGGTGCACCACTCCCACAGCAATAAGTGTAACTTCCCCCTCCTTAGCAGCAGACCTCCACACACCACATTCGTGTTTCCAACATTTGCACGTTTCCAGTGCACAGACTTCCAGGGCACACCACTCCATAGGCCAGTGATGGTGAACCTTTTGAGCTCGGCATGTCAGCATTTTGAAAAGCCATAACTTAACTCTGGTGCCATGTCACATATAGAAATTTTTTGATATTTGCAACCATAGTAAAACAAAGACTTATATTTTTGATATTTATCTTACATATTTAAATGTCATTTAACAAAGAAAAATCAACCAAAAAATGAGTTCGCGTGTCACCTCTGACACGCATGTCATAGGTTCACCATCACTGCCATAGACAGCTTTTGGGAGCTACTGTGAGGCACCGCTGGGTGTGATTTCATACAGACACAGGTGCGCTGCCCCGCAGTAGAAAACCTGAATTCCCTCTTCCTGAATAACTGCCCACAGACAACCTAACTGTGCAACTTCAGAGCCAGGGTCCCTCAGAGTGCGTCAGAGTTCTGTACCGGCAAAGGCACTGACACAGTCGCAAATTTCCAGTGAGCAGGCACCCTGAGGTAGCTTCTGTGAGCCCCAGCTCTGTGTGATCTTGGTCAAACAGGGACTCATTCCCTTGGCAGTAGAAATTCTGAATTCACTCATCTTGGACACCTGCCCACAGATGCCACGAATATGCTGCTTCAGTGCCAGGGCCCTTCAGAGTGTTTCAGTGTGCCGTGCTGGCAAAGGCACCAAGGGTACCCCTGTGAGCTGCCACTGGGAGCACGCACCTATCCACCACAAGTGCAGCAGCAAAAACTGAGTCTTTCCACCACACAGCTGCAGAACTCTGGACACTACAGGCACACACTTTTCCATCACATAGGCCTCCCAAGCCCACCCCTCCACAGACAGTCCTTGGGCGCTGCTGTAAGCCCCTGCTGGGTATGCACTTATACAAATAGGAGCACACTGCTGGGCTGTAGAAATGCTGAATTCCCTCTTCTGGGATACCTGCCCACAGACACCTCAATCCTGTGGCTTCAGCACCAGGGCCCTTCAGAGTGAATCAGCACATCCTGCTGGCAAATGCACTGTGGGTACCCACTGGAGGCTCATGTATCCAACCACTGAGGTAACAGCCAAAGCTGAGTCTGCCCACGCCAAAACTACAGAACTCTGGAACCACAGTCATGACTTTCCAGATCTCAGGCCTCCCGAGCCCCACCACCTGAACAGATGGTTCATGCGTGCCACTGTGAATCCCTGCTGGCACACACAATTTCAACCAAGGAAGCAAGACAGTAAAAATTGGGACACCCCTCCCCCAACAACTGCTGACTTCTAGACACCACTGTGCTGCCTTTCCAGCTCACAAGCCTACATAAAGAGAACCCAAATAGCTCAAGTAGGGAGCTATGCTAGATTATCAACCCCAGGAGACTTGAGAGATCACACCAGTACCACCATCTCCAAAAAAAAACTTGGGTAGCAAAGCAAATGAACCTACAATTAAAACATTACAGCAAAGCATGGAAAGACAAAAAAGCAATCCCCAAAGAAAAGAAAAAGAGAAATCACCAGAAGGGGAGTTAAATGAAATTGAGGCTAGAAACATATCAGAGAAAGAATTCAGAGTAATGGTTATAAAGATGTTCAAATGACTAGATGACAAATACACACAACTCAATGACAAATGCACACAACTCAATGAGAATTATAAGGAGCTGAATGAGAACTTCACCACCATGAAAAGTAACCAGGAGGAAATGAATAACAACATAACTGCAATAAAGAACACAATGGAATGCTTAAACAGTAGATTAGAAGAGGCTGAGGACTGCATCAGCGAATTAGAAGACAAGGTAGGAAAAAAAAACAAAAACACAACAGCAACAGGAAGAAAATTTAAAAAGCAAGAGGAAAAACCTGAAACAAAATGAAACAACATTTGCTTAATAGGGATACCAGAAGGAGAGGAAGAGAAGCAAGGAATAGAAAATTTATTTGAAGAAATAACTACAAAAAACTTCCCTATATTGGCAAGGAAAAAAAAACACAAAACTATGCAAGTCCAAGAAGCACATCAAGTCCCAAACAAGATGAACCCCAAAAGACCAACACCAAGAAACATCATAATTAAATTGGCAAACACCAACAACAAAGTAAGAATCTTAAATGCTGCCAGAGAGAGACAGAAAGTTACGTACAAGGGATCTCCTATTAGAATAGCAATTGATTTCTCAACAGAAACACAACAGGCCAGAAGGGAATGGGATGAGATATACAAAGTGATGCAAAGCAAGGGACAGAATCCAAGAATTCTATACTCAACAAGGCTATAATTCAAAATTGAAGGTAGAATCAGGAGCTTCACAGAAACAAAAGGGCTAAGAGAGTTTATTACCACCAAGCCAGTAATTCAAGAAATGCTAAAAGGACTGCTGTAAAAAGAAGAAAGAGAAACGCAAGAAGAAATACAAACATTAAGAA